AGTCTATTGATTTTTGTATATTGCTTTTATATCCCGCTGCTTTACCAAACTCTTCTATAGTTCTAATAGTCTCTTAGTGGAGCTCTTTGGATCCCCTGAATAAAGAATTGTATCAGGTGCCATGGCTGTGGTACACTAGGTTAATCCTCCGCATGTAGCACTGGCATCCCATGTAGGTGCCGGGTTCTAGTTCCCGTTGTCCCTCTTCCAGTCCAGCTCTATGCTGTGGCCTGAGATGGCAGTGTAGAATGGCCCAAGTGGCTGGGCCCCTGCACCTGCATGGGAGACCAGGAAGAAACTCCTGGCTCCTGGCTTCAGATTGGCCAAGCTCCGGCTATTGTGGCCATTTGGAGAGTGAACCAACGGAAGGAAGAGCTTTCTCTCTGTCTCTCTGTCTCTCTGTCTCTCTGTCTCTCTGTCTCTCTCTCTCTCACACTGTCTGAAATTCTAAAAAAAAAAAAAAATCTAAAAAAAAATCATCTGCAAAGAGGGATATTTTGACTTCTTCCTTCCCAATGTGTATCCCTTTGATTTCTTTTTCTTGCCTACCAGCTCTGGCTAAAAACTTCCAGTACTATATTGAATAACAATGGTGAGAGTGGGCCTCTCTGTTACCAGATCTGTGTGGGAATCCTTCCAACTTTTCCTCATTTACTATGATGCTGGCCATGGGTTTGTCATAAATTGCCTTGATTGTGTTGAAGAATGTTCCTTCTATACCCAATTTGCTTAGAGTTTTCATCATGAAAGGTTGTATTTTATCAAATGTTTTCTCTGCATCTATTCAGAGAATCATATCGTTTTTCTTCTGCAGTTTGTTAATTTGTGTTATCACATTGACTGAATTACAAATGTTGAACCATCCCTGTATACCAGGAATAAATCCCACTTGGTCTGGGTGGATGATTTTTTTGATGTGTTGTTGGATTCTATTGGCTAGAGTATTATTGAGGATTTTTACATCTATATCCATCAGGGAAATTGGTCTGTAATTCTCTTTCGCTGCTGCATCTTTTTCAGGTTTAGGAATTAAGGTAATGTTGGCTTCATAGAATTTGGGAGGATTTACTCTCTTTCAATTGTTTTTGAATAGCTTGAGAACAACTGGAGTTGGTTCTTCTTTAAATGTCTGGTAGAATTCAGTGGTCAATCCATCTGGTCCTGGGCTTTTATTTGTTGGGAGAGACATTATCACTTATTCAATTTTCATCTTGATTATAGGTCTTTTTAGGTTTTCTATGTCTTCATGCTTCAATTTAGGTAGGTTGTATGTTTCCAGGAATCTATTCATTTCTTCTAGATTTCCCAGTTTGTTGGCATACAACTCTTTGTAGTAATTTCTGATGACTCTTTTTATTTCTGTGCTTTCTTTTGTTACATTCGCATTTTCATCTCTGATTTTATTGATTTGTGTCTTCTCTATCCTTTTTTTTAGTTTATTTGGCTAATAGTGTGTCAATTTTTTATTTATTTTTTTCAAAAAACCTGCTCTTCATTTTGCTGATCTTCTGTAATGTTTGTAATGTTTCTTTGGATTCAGTTTTGTGGAGTTCTGCTCTAATTTTAATTATTTTTCTCCTACTAGTTTTGGGCTTGGTTTGCTGTAGTTTTTCTAGATCTTTGAGATGCATTGATAGCTCATTTATTTGGTGCCTTTCTAACTTCTTGATATAGGCACCTATTACCATAAATTTTCCTCTTAATATTGCTTTGGTGTATCTCATAAGTTTTGATGTGTTGTTATCTTCATTTGCTTCCAGAAAGTTTTTGATTTTTCTTTTGATTTCTAAGTGATCTGTTGATTCAGGAACATATTGTTCAGTCTCCATGTGCTTGCATATGTACTAGAAATTCTTGAGTTGCTGCTTTACAGCTTCATTCCATTGTGGTCTGAGAAGATGCATGGTATGATTTCAATTTTTTTTAACTTGTTGAAACTTACTTTATGGCCTAGTATGTGGTTAATCCTAGAGAGAGTTCCATGCACTGCTGAGAAGAAGGTATATTCTGCAACTGTAAGATGAAAACTTCTGTATATATCTGTTAGGCCCATTTTGTGTATAGTATGAATTAAATCTGTTGTTTCCTGTTTCCTTGTTGATTTTCTGTATGGTAAATATGTGCATTGCTGAAAGTGGAGTATTGAAGTTCCCCAATACTATTGTATTGGAGTCTAAGTCTCCTTTAAATCCCTTAACATATCTTTAAATAACCATGTGCCTTGTAATTAGGTGCATATGTTTTTAATAGTTACATCTTCCTATTGAATCCATCCCTTAATCATTATCTAGTGCCCTTCTTTGTCTCTTTTAACAGTTTTTGTGTTAGTCGATTTTGTCTGATACTAAGATTGCTACTCTAGCACTTTTTTGGTTTCTGTTGGCATGGAATATATTTTCCAGCCTTTCACTTTCAGTCTGCATGCACCTTTGTTAGAATGATGTATTTATTGTATTCAGCATATAGATGGGTTTTTGTTTTTTTAATGCATTCAGCCAGTTTGTGCCTTTTAACTGGGCACATATACATTCAATGTGACTATTGATAAGTAATGATTTTGCCCTGCTATTTTTTCAAAGATATTCCTAATTTAAACTTTGAACTTCCTGTGATCTTTTACGGAGATATTTCCTTCCTTTACCTTCTTTTGTATTGATGACCATGGTTCTGTGTTTCTGTGTGTAACACATCTTTAAGCATCTTTTGCAGGTCTGGATGAGTGGTGACAAATTCTTTCAATTTCTATTTGTTATGAAAGCTCTTTATTTCACCTTCATTCACAAATGAGAGCTTTGTAGGATATAATATTCTGGGATGACAGTTTTTGTCTCTTAGGACATGGGCTATATTTCGCCATTCCCTCCTAGCCTATAGGGTTTTTCCATGAATACTCCTATTGTTTGCTTTAGATTTCCTTTGCACTTTTACAAAGAGATTTTAGACCTTCATATTCTTTAATAGTTATTATTCTGTGTTTCTGTATGTAGTACATTCTTTAGTATGTCATTTGTAAGGTTGGGTGAGTGGTGACAATGAGTGGTGACAAACACTTTCATTATCAGTTTGTCATGATGGCCTTCATTTCATCTTCACTTATAAATGAGAGCTTTGCAGGGTACAATATTCTTGGTGGACAATTCTTTTCTTATAAGACTTGGACTGTGTCTTCCATTTTCTCCTAGCCTACAGGATTTCTGATGAGAAGTCAGTTGTGATTCTCATTGGAGATTGTCTGAAAGTAATCTGGCATTTCTCTCATTCACTTTTTTTTTTATGTTACATTGTTGAAAGATTGACAGCAATGTATCATGGTGAAGATGTTTTCTGGTCATGTGTATTAAGAATTCTCTGTGCCTCATGTATTTGGATGTCCCTTTTTCCAAATTAGGTAACTTTTCTGTTATTATTTCATTGACTAGGCCTTCTAATCCATTATCTCTTTCCACAGTTCTTCAGGGACACCTAAGACTCATATGTTGGGTCATTTGATAGTATCCCATAAATCTCCAACACTGTTTTTTAATTTTTATGATTTTTTTGGTCTGGAAAATTTCTCTAGATTTGTCTTTTAGACTTCCTTTCTTCTGCCTCAGCAAGTTTGTTGATATGACTTTCTGCTATAGTTTTTGTACAACACATTGATTTCTTGATTTATAAATTTCAGTTTGATTTCTCTTATAAATGAGAGCTTTGCAGGGTACAATATTCTGGGTGGACAATTCTTTTCTTATAAGACTTGGACTGTGTCTTCCATTTTCTTCTAATTTCAATCTTCTGGGATAATTTTTCTTCCATGTCAAATATGGATTTCTTTAACTCATGAATATTTTTCTCATTGATTCTGAGTAATCCTATGATTAATATTTTGAATTCATTTTCAAGCATTTCATCAATCTCTTTGTCATCACATTCTACTATTGAAGTGTTGTTTTGTTCCTTTGGGGGAGTCACGTATCTTCCTTATTCTTGTTTCTTGAATTTTTGCATTTATTTTTTGGCATTTGTGGAAATACTTATTGATTCTTTCCTCTGATGGCTTTTATCTTTGAACTGTGCATCTGTGGCTTAGTGGAGTGTCTGTTGTTTTAGTGAATACTCAGAGGCGAGGCATGTGCACGGTATGGCTAGGGAGCTCTGATCAGTGCTCCAGGGTTTGGCAACTACCCAGGGTGACATCCAAGTTGGGTGTGTTTGGTCTTCTCTGTTGTCATCATGGAAGAGGGTATGATGATCACCTCTGTTATTTAATCATACCCTTACCTCTTCCAAGATGATCATTGTCCTTTGTTAGCCCACTGTGAGTGCAACAGTCTCCTGTGCTGCCACATGAACCACACAAAGGTTCTGTGCACCCCTCACGTGAACATGGGTCCCACTGCAATGATCCACCCCAGGCAATCCAGGAGCTCTGGGCCTTTTTGGTCACACACAATGATTGCCCAGAAAGCCAGCTACACCCTGTGACTCCATCATGCCATCACAGAGTTTCCACAGTCTCTGCATACAAGGCTCCAATGTCATGTTGTGCAGAGGATCCACTCTGCCCCACTAGCCTATCCTGTTGATGGAGAGGTAGAGACATTCTCAGACTCAGCTGTCTGTAGGTGATTTAACTTGGTGGTGAGCCCTAGGGCCTTGATATGTTTAGAGGTTGGAGGCACCTCAAGGTCTTACATATGTGCTCAGTCTCCTCTTTACTTCCAGCCTTACTCAAAGTCAGTGGGGAATGCAGATTTTTCCTTCTGGTAAAATCCCTGGATCACAAGCATGCACAAGAGCTGCCACAGCTGCTACTGATGTCAAAATGGCGCTCTTTTCCAGCTGGTTGCCTGGCATCGTTTTGAGGAGATGGAGAGAGAGAAGCATGCCCTTTGTTCCCTGGTCAGGCAGCTACCCTGTTTCCCTTAGGATTCCAGGCCAGACTCAAAGATAGTGTATTCTGCAAAACTCTTACTGTGGCTATATCGCCAATGGCATGGGCTGCTGCAGTCTGTTCTTACCTGCTTCCCAAAGCTGGTGCTTCCTCCGGCTCTCGGCTACAGAGATCGTGTGTTTTGTCCGCACTTGTTGCTGTGCATCCTCACCTTCTAGCTGATCCATTGTGTCCCTCTTCCTTCTGTGGAATTTTACTGCAGATTTCTCTCCAACTCTCCCCTAGGATGTACTTCTTCCACTTTCTTGCTACTATTTCTCCCTAGCCTAAAGCAGTAAGTCCTTTTTCCTATTCTGCCATCTCTCATGGACTTCCAAATACAGAAATACATAAATCTTTTGAAAAGAGACAGACTATATTAATTGGCTTCTATCTGGTAAAGAAGTTTAATTAATAATTAATAATCTTCCAAAACATAGAGTGTCAGGCTCAAGTTGATTCACTGATTAATTCTGCCAAACATCTAATGAGTAAATTATGCTAATTATATAGAATCTCTTCCAGAATATATCAGCAGAAAGAATGCTTTCTGACTTATTCTATGAGGTCAGCATTTCTGTAATAACAGTTTGACACAAAGGCAATATAAGAAAAATATAAATATATTTCATAAACAAAAGGGTATTGCCATGAGCAAAATATTAGTAAATTAAATCCAGCAATGAATTAAAAGTTATACACCATAGCCAAGTAGTATTTATTATAAGTATTCAACTCTTGGAATAAATGCACTTCTTCAGTACTGAAAGAAATGCACTATCAAGCCATGGAAAGACATGGAAGAAACTTAAAAGCAAAGGTAATTTGAAAACCTACATATTACACCATTTCTTGTATATGACACTCTGTAAAAGGCAAAGTGTGGATAAAGTAAAAAATGGTTTTCAGGAAGCGTGAATGGGTAGAAAACTGTAGGGCAATGAAACTATTTTGTATGACGCTATGTGTTGTAGCTATGTGTTGTCATACATTTGTGAAAACCTAGGCAGCACCGCGGCTCACTAGGCTAATCCTCCACCTTGAGGCGCCGGCACACCGGGTTCTAGTCCCGGTCGGGGCGCCAGATTCTGTCCCGGTTGCCCCTCTTCCAGGCCAGCTCTCTGCTGTGGCCAGGGAGTGCAGTGGAGGATGGCCCAAGTGCTTGGGCCCTGCACCCCATGGGAGACCAGGAGAAGCACCTGGCTCCTGCCATTGGATCAGCGCAGTGCGCCATGGTGGCCATTGGAGGGTGAACCAACGACAAAGGAAGACCTTTTTCTCTTTCTCTCTCTCACTGTCCACTCTGCCTGTCAAAAAAAAAAATAATAACTAAATAAAAATAAAAAAAGAAAAAGAAAACCTATAGCAGGCATAACACCAAGAGTAAGCCCTAATGTAGACTGTGGACTTCGGACTTTGATTGTAACCAGTGTACCAGTGTGGTGAGGAATGTCAATACTGGGGGAGACTGCATATGTGAGGACAAAGAAATACAAGATCTCTGCAATTTCCACTCAAATTTGCTCTGAACCTAAAATTGTAAAAGACAAAATTTATTTTAAAAACTAAGGAAATTATTGATTCTAATTAAAATATTGTTCAGGAAAATTAATGAATGTCATACTAGATCATTTTTTAAAACCAACCTGGGATGGATATCCACCTTATGCTTGGGATGCTTGTATCATAGTAGCTGGGATTGAGTCTTCCTCTGCTTCCAATCCAATTTCCTGCTAATGTGCCCATGAGGCGACAGATGATGCCCCAAGTACTTGGGTTTCTGACACACATGGGGACATAGGTAGAAAGTATAAATATGAAAAAGACACCATGCAAATAACAAGACTTAGAAAGACTTAGAAAGCTGGTATAGCTATTATTTACATCGAATTCAGTAGATTAAACCAAATAATATTTAAAAATATGAAGAACATTTTATAGTTAATGTTTAATTGTTCAGAAAAATACAATTTCATTTCTTCTCCTTACACAGGCATTTATTCCTAAAAAATGCTTTCACCCCAAAACACAGGTAAGCATTGGCTTTTGAAGACTGTCATCAGCAAGATTGATTCAACATATAAAAATATTATGTGCCACTCACTACAATTACCAAATTAAAGACAATAACAAACTGATCACCTGAGTAGATGTAGAGAAGTATTTGGCAAAATTCAATACCTGTTAATGATAAAACACCCCTCAAACTTTTTTTTTCCTCTGCCTATTTTGTTCCTCTACCTATTTTTGTTCCTCTACCTATTTTCAAATGTGAACGGGCAATTCAACAACCATAACTGATAAGGGCCTGATGACCACAGGATAACTCTCATTGTTGAAAGTCTAGGTCTGGGGACCAGTGCCGTGGCTCACTAGGCTAATCCTCCTCCTGCGGGCTGGCATCCCTGGCAGCCATTTGTGGGGTGAACCAACAAAAAGAAGGAAGACCTTTCTCTCTGTCTCTCTCTCTCTCATTGTCTAACTCTGTCAAATAATAATAATAATAAAGGTCACTGGGGCACATGCTTGTAGTGTAACAAAGAAGGCCACCTGCTGCAGTGCTGGCATCCCATGTGGGCACTGGCTGAGTCCCAAATGTTCTATTTCCGATCCAGCTCCCTGCTGATATGCTTGGGAAAACAGCAGATGGTCCAAGTGCTTGTGCCCCTGTACCCACTGGGTAGACCCAGAGGAAGCTCCTGGCTTCAGCCTGGCCTAGCTGAGGTCATTGCAACCATTTGGGGATTAAACCAGAGGATGGAAGATCTCCATCTGTCTGCCTTTCAAATAAATAAAATCTTTAGTAAGGAAAGTCTAGGTCATCTCACGAGGCAAGTCAACTGGACCAGCAGAAGTACTAGTTAAGAGTGAGAGGAACTTACATGATAGAGAAGATAGGTGATAAAAATGAATTAGGACTTTGCAACCAACAGCGGTCATAGGGGTTGTTGTCCATGCCACTAATTTTTATGTTTTCCTCTGGAAATTAAGGTGACCACCATCCCGAGGGAAAAAAAAAAAAAAAAAAAAAAAAAAAAAAAAAAAAAAAAAACAGGATAAATTAAACTTAATGCAGGATGCGAATGGTGAGAGCAACACAAAGAGTGAGACCATAATGCAAAGTGTCCCAGTTGCATCCGGAGTCTCTCATATCCCTTTATCATTGCTGTGCACCTTGCTCCCAATACCTTTGTAGTTTTGCCTCCAGTGGCTGGCACCTGTGAATCCTTTTAGCCCTACTGCTCTCCCAGTTATCACAGTCACTTGTGCAAACAGCTGGAAGTGTCTGGACTTACATTCACAACCACCATGCTCACACTCTTTGTGATCTTTCAGTCCTTTCCAAGTGGTGAATGGTATGGCAGACAAAGTCCAGCTTACTTGCTTTGGCTCAAGACAAACCCTAAGGTGCAATTTGCATTCTGTGGTTTCTTGCTGCATCAGGTTAAAGATGGCCTCTAGAAACTGTGCTCCTGCTCGGATTCCTCCCCTTGACTGTCCTGCTTCCCCCATTTCCTTTCCCATTTCTCTGCAGAGCTCTTCTCTTGCACAAGCATATTTTTTTTCTTTTTTTCAGAAAAACCTAACCTAAAATATTTTTTGAGCTTTCATACCTCCCTGTATTTATAGTTCATTTCATTCAATTCATGGGCAGTTGTTTTTTCAAGGCTTATCTTTCCTGCTAGTGTACGAACTACACAAGAGAAGGAATTGCAATATATTGTTTATTGCTATACCTCTAGTGTCTAAACTTGTCTGTGGCATATAGATTGAAAAACATAGTTCATGGAACTGAATAAGCATTAAATAGATTTAATGATCTGCTTTGGGTAAGCAAGACCTATTTCCAAAAAGCGGGAGTCTTTAGTTGTCAGTTGTCAACCCTTCCAGGCATTCTTTCTCTAACTAGTGTTTTTTGTTCTTTTTCAGTCTGATCACTTGATTTAGAAGACAGGACAGATTCAAAACAAAAGCCAAGTAAGTACCAGTTGCATCAAATTCATTCTCCCTGGCATTCTTCCCATTAGATTTTATTCTTAAAGCCATGATGGATTGAATGATGTTTAAAATCTGTGACTCTGAGCAACATCAGCAAGGCATAGCATTGACAACGGTGTTAGCTCAGAATCCCTGCTGTTGTTCACTTCTATAAGGGGGTGGAGCCATCTGCAAATGGTTCAGATTAGTGAGCACTAAATACAAGGAGAAAACTTGTACATTATTCATTCACCAAGAGTTCTTCATTGGAGAAGGAACACATTGGTGAGTACTGTCACTTAGTGACATCAAATTGCTGCAAGTTGAACTCCGGAATACTGTTAAGGCAAAGAACACAGAAGAGCAGATGAAGAAAAATCAGTTCTCTATGCTTGACTGCCTAGAATTTTAACTATCAAACTGAACCAATTTGAATTCTTTGTTTTTTAAAATCTTCGTGGAAGGCCTCTTTTGTGAGCTGAATACACTTCATCCAATATAAATGTCAATTTGGGGTTGTAATATGGAAAAAGATATGTTTATTAATCATGAGACATGCCTTCAACTTGTACCATCTTCCCATTGGGAGCTGAGGAAACTTAGCTCAAGATAAAAGAAATTGGGCTCCCTGCTGTGAGTTACTAGAGTTGTGGGGATAAAAGTTAATGTACATTGTCTGCAAAGATGTCTTTTCTATGAAAGGCTCCTGCTGAAATTTTAGAAGTAGTTCTAGTGTCTGAGCAAAGAATAAGAATTACTTGTATTCATTATGGGAAAAGCTAGTTCAAGTAACTTAACTTAATCACTAAATATTTATTCAAAATGCCAATTATCTTAAAATCTTTATCATTTACTCCAAAATTTAAGTGAAAAGTTTATTCACATCAGCAAATCTAAAAGAAAGGGGGGAAAAAAGCATAGTTCATAGACTCTTTGTTTTGCTTTTATTGTGTTTGGCTCAACAATATAATACTGTTCCTGTAGCTTGACAGTACTTTTAAAGTCCTGAATGCATCTGTGTCATAGACCTCTCAGAATATTTAATAAGATTACAGAAAGAATATGAGGGCATGGATAATGCAAATTAAAAACTTAGAAAAGAAAAATAGGGACTGTTAAAGAAATAGGAATTTAAATATAATAGAGTGGTTGGTTAATCCTGTTTGTGTAACTGAACTTCTAACATGGCTCTGGAGTTCCTGATAACCAG